CATGACCGAATGAATGAAATGACCCGTTGCCAAAATAATGTTTGACAAAAACAACAATGAACGGGGCTGGGCCTAGCAACCGTCCTGCCAAGCGTCAGAAAACAGGTGATGACTACATCAATCGGCTCGTCGGCCGTGTGAACAAGGAGGAGGGTATGGATGTCGAGTGGGGCAAGTCTCGCTACCACGTCCCGCACCAGTGGGTGTACAACTTCAAGCACACCAAGGATCCCAAGGGTGGTAGCCGCAGACAGGCGAAGATGTGGCCGCACGACACGCCTGAAGGAGAGGATTACAGGAAGCTGGTGCCTATCACGACCCCAGACAAGCTGCGAGACTATATGAGCCTTGCAAGGCGCAACAAACGGCCAGAGGCAGACAGTTACGATGCGTACCTTGCACGGATAGCAGGCGCCTCTCGTTCCGCGAAACCCGTGCAGAACAAGGGGAACCGAGCTCAAAGTGCCCCCCGCTTTTCGAACCCCGTGCAGAACAGGGGTAACCGAGCTCGAACCAGCTCAGCGAACAACGCCGCGTTAGCTTTGCCTGCGGCTTGGCGGAATGGCAATAACCGTGACAAGAAGCCAAATTCTCAGAACAACAAATGGGCAAGGCTTCATGTCGCAAACAACACTCGGTCAATGCACAGCAGCCACAACGGTACAAACAATGAGGAGGAAGAGGAGTGTGCAATCTGCGGGGAGCCAGGCACCCTCCTGATCTGCGATCTTTGTGAGCGCGGCTTTCACCTGACGTGCCTCGATCCCCCACTCACCAGCGTTCCTGAAGGTGATTAGTACTGCCCAGATTGCGAGAAGGAGGGCTCAAATGCGGGGATCCCACCAAGGTCAGTAAACAATTCGCAATCGAATGCGAGTTGGATCGATCCTGATGAAGGGGAGTTCAACAAGCGGAAGCTAGTGAGTGAGGTCAACCAAGCTCTCATGAACGAGAACAAGACGGGGCTCCCCCATGACTTTCAAGCAGTACAAGATGGGCTTCGCAAAGAGAGACAAGCCGAGATCGACCAACTCCGAAACGAGTTTAGGTCCACCCCTAACGTGAAGAAGAAGCGCACCATCCTTGCCAGGCTGCGGCCACTAGGGGACAATATCGAAAACTTGCTTCGAGATCCCAGCCTGACCAACAACAACCGCGCCATGTTCACCCCAAACAAGGGTCTGATAGTGCAGAGGGGTCGCGATCGTGTGCTGTCTTGGCTGGATGCTCCGGCCAATTCCAGGCCAATGCAGAGCCAGCGGCGGATAACACCCACACCAATCCCAAGACCGAACCAGGCAAACAATCAAACCAACAGGAAAGGCAAACGGAGAATCAATAACATCTAAGTCTCCACGTGCCTCTCGAATGTAGCTTTCTCCTGTGAACATGGCGCTCACAGGACAATGCAACATTGGCACAATAATGGCAGCTAAAGACATGGAGGCCGAAGCTCTTGCAACCTTGAGAGAGAGCCTGCAGCTGAACACCGAGTTGAAGAAACGGTTCGACAGGTTGGGCGAGTTTGCAGACCGTGTTGAGCATCTTCGTACTGCAAAGCTTGTCAACAATGGCCAGATCATTGCGCTGAAAGAGCAGCTTGCGCATTTTGAGAGCCGTCCCGAGAGCCTTCCCGTGCGAGTGCCTCGCATTGTACCAGTGCCTCGCATGGTGCACGCGGCCCCTACGAATGAGTGGCATCATTTAGCACAGATCCTGGACGACACTCACAACTCCCAGAAGGTTGCTGTTGTGGGGCGCTCGCGCGCTGAGGTCCTTGCTCAGCTAGAGTCTCGGCTCGGTAAGGCGAAAGCAGCAGTGCTTGCAAAGAGGCTGAGGGTGTACAAGAAGCTGAGCAAGGGGCCCCATTCAAAGGTGGTAGTGTTGACCAGGGGAGCACAGACTCCTAGATCCGTAAAACGCCTGCTCAGAGAGCGTCAGATCACACAGCCAGCATTTGTGTTGCATCGTGGGACCATTTCAAAGGTTTGAATCTTGACTTAGGCTGTGTGCCACAGAAGATGTGGATTCTGAACCTCGGCATTGTCCCCGGTGGCCGCCTGATCGCCCCCCTTGGAATCTGCGTCAGCTGTGGTGGAAGCATCAGGGGTCGAAGCTACCGCTGGGGTTGCAGGAGCCGTAAGGGTTGCGGTCTTTTCGGAACCGTCATCCTTGAACGTCTTGTCAGCTCCGGCAGTGGTGGTGGTAGTGGGAGACTTGGTCTGGTCCGTGCTCTTTGTTGTTTTTGTCATTTGATTGCGGTACTCTCTTGTGAGATAATATTTCGTGCCTACACACATGCATGTGGAAGTCTGCACGGAGGGACCGTGCGGTCTGAGTGCCATGGTCACGTGCCGTACCTATACGTCCAGCACTTCGCCAACTCCCCTCTAGCCCGCGGCCGCGGGTCGTAGGGCGCGCGGTAACGTGCTTAAAACAAGTTTCCGCGCGCGAACGCGTTCAGTACGCGTGCCACGGGTGTCAGAGCGCGCTTTGATAGGCCGCGGCGCGCAAGGCTTGACGAACACTCTTAATGCGCGCGCAGACTAATCGACACGTCAGGAGTCCTGTGCACTTTACCGGCTTTGCCGGAACTTTGGTGAGCATCACTACCCAAAGGTGCTTTCTTCGCAGAGAGTTACGTTGAGCACACTCCTGTCCTCTTCTTCAAAGAGCTCCCCGAACGTCTTGGAATTCTTGGGTAACAGATCACCAATCAGTACAAAACAACCATTCTTTCTGCTGGAGGTGCTGAGGAAGCCTTTCTTGCCTAGGAGGGCCATGAAGCATGCGACTGTGGTACGCTTTGGAATCATGAGCTTCTTTCCATCTTCTTTCAGGCACTTTCCATGCACGATAGCTGGAACATGATCTGGGTACAAGACCAGCAGCTGGCCAAGACCTTGTTTGTGACAGTCCTTGGAAGGTTGCATCATGGTGTGTTTGTGTTTGTTTACCCAGATAATATGACTCTCAAGTAGGTGTCTTCTGAACCATAGTGCTGGGTATGGCCTTACATACATACATATCGCCAATTGGAAACCAAAGGGAAAAGTCTGTACTA